GAGTTCAGGTGTTCAGGAGTTCAGGTGTTCAGGAGTTCAGGTGTTCAAAAAAAGCATACTGACTGCTGTTCACCTGTCTCACTGAAATTTGGACAGAGCTCTGTGCCAAAGAGTGAGTTGGGAGGGGGGGTGGCCTGGGTTGCTGCATTGGATAGGGGCTGTGGACTGGTGTAATGCACACTGAAAGGCAGCTTTACAAACTTAGAACAATTTCCACTAGTTAGTATGTCACTATGTGTTTCTACCCAATGATGTCTTGCAACATCAAAGCTTACATGTGCTGCAACCTAGGGTAATTCATGTGTGTTTCTGCTTTGGTGATGCTACCAGCCCTATAAAAGTTGATTTGGGAAAGTGTTGCCTGACCTTGTGCAAAGACACCTCAACCATCCAATTCAACACCACATGTTGGAGTATGCTGGTCTCAAGCACTTGCACTGGCCATGAAGCAGCTAAAGTGTTACATCCAGGGCCTGCTTTACACAATACATTTGAGTTTGTAATAAGGCTTCTGATTGCGTGCCCAGGCCCAATCTTCCCCCCTGCAGCCTCAGCCACATTACTGTTACCAGTTCTTTTTGCTGGAAGCAGGCCCCAGCATACATAACTAAAATTAAAGGAGCCTCCTTTTCAAGGTTGGCTAAATTTTAGGAGGCTCCTCTAAGACACTTAAAAGTCATGAGTCTAGAAAGCTACAATTTCAACATGCCTGCCCCCCATAGGCCATGGCATGTTGCATGGCTGGGGCATTACCTGCTTGTGAATTAGTGATTTCAAACCTGTAAGTGATCAACCATTAGCCTCAGTTGGGAAGCCACCTGTTGGCAATGTTACTTGTCAGTTGTTTGCATTGAAGCAACCAAGTGTAGACTCTCCAATGTACCCAACATGTGCCATTTGCAAGGTCTTTCATTAACGTACATAACACTGTCTAGAAAATGTGTCAAGTGCTTAAACTTTGTTTTCATACCCCACACTTGGTATACCACTTGCTCATTATATGTATACCACTTCTAGTTGAAGAGGTTTAAAACATGTTTCACTTCTCAATTGCAATGTCTTCACCGATGCCCACATCGGTGTCCATCGATGCCCGTCGCTGCCCCGCCTGGCGCGCCAGCGACAGCTCGAGCCGCCGGAGCCGCTGCCGGCTCTGGAGCGCTTGGCGGCTGCGGAAGAGCCACAGGTGCCACAGGTCCTGCAGAAGGCACCTGCAGCTGTCACTGGAACCGTTCGGACGAACTGAGACTCAGAAAAGAATTAGAATGTCAAGTCCGTCGAGTCAGCGGTGGTTTGTTTAAATCTGGCTTTTTGTTGGCCTGATGTTGATTTTTGTCATTGACCAAAGAGCCATTGTTTGAGTAAGGGTTTTAGACTACAACACCAGCTAGGTCAATCTGTTTTCATAATGGTGTTTCGAAGGCTACTGGTTTGGTTGTAGGTGCTGGGTTTTTCCAAAACAATGGGAGTCCCTGCACTTTGAAGTTTCTTTAAAGGGCAATAGATTGTCACGTTGGGTGCAAATGAGGTGTTGAATTCACTCGAGACTTCGTGAACTTCCCAGTTGAGAACATCATTAGCGGTGTAGGGTTGGATGCAAACATGGTAGAATGAATGAGCGATGGCCCTTGGAAAGGGGCATTGGATCCCACGATCCATCAGCTTTGAATTGACAAAACTATCTTCTTCGAGACAGAACCCATCATCTCAAGACTGTTCTTTTGTTACCCGAACTCAAGAGTCCCAGAGCTATGCTGTAAATGCTCTCGAGCAGGGCACCTTGTGTGATGAGCCATTGCTGTCATCTCATCCTGCCTTGCAAGGCTGTCGGTGGACCGATCTCCCTGTGAGCGGTGGCAAGTGGGAATTTATATCATTGGACCTTTCTTCCTTTTCTTGTTTTAGCAATGGCCTCCGACCTAATAGCAATGGCCTCCAACCTACTAGCGATGGCCTCCACCTAGTAGCTTCTAGTTACTAGAAAGCTTCAAAGACATACTATATAAGTGAGCCACAGAAAACCGATGAGAAGCCTCCACACTGGAACTCAAGGCGATGAGAAAGGACAGGGTCTGGTCAGAAGTTCAGTTTGCATGTTCTTGCTGGATCACTCAATACTTTGGAAAGAACATACAACAAAAAGAACATTTGGTCACTCGAATCCAAAATGCGGCAACAAGTCGTTGTACAACCTCAAGCTGTAGTTGATGGATAACTCGGTCAGTTGTCAAGTGAAACCTCTACCGCTATGTGTAACATGTCTCTTCTTGGCACGTATCGTTCTATCATAATGACAAGCCAGCTATAATGTATAACC